TTTAATATTACTTGTTTCTTATTTTATAATTTATGTTTTGGTAGTATTAGGATTTCCTATTTACTTTTAATATATACTTGATTTCCTATTTTAAAATTCATGTTTTGAGTACTAGGATTTCATATCATGTTTTAGTATTAGTAGGATTTCAATTCATTGTTTTAGTAGTAGTATTAGAATTTCTTATTTACTTATCCTAGTAGATTATGATTAGCCTGCTATGAATAGGGTTGTTATGTTTCAACTTATTCAATCAAGTTTTCAATAAAATCTTCCACCAATTTAAGTGATACCTTTCTTCTTCCTCTAGCAAATCAATCATGCCACCCAAAGTTAATACACGAACTCAATTGACTGAAAGTATTCGTGTTGAATTGTGCAAAATGAAAGAATCAAACCCTAGTTGGAAGCAGAAAGATCTTGTGAAGTGGTTAGAAGATACTCATGGTCTTAAGGTATCACAAGCAACAATATCTAAGACACTTAAACGATCAGTTGACCTCCTTCAAGAAGAAGGATTGTTGAACCCAAACACAAAACATTCAAAGATGGTAAAGTACCTAGCAATGGAGTCTGCCCTCTATGAATGTTTTGTATGCCATCAAGAGCATGTCAATATGAATGGTGAATCGTTAAAAGAGAAGGGAAATATTTTTCTAAGGAAACTCTATCCTGAAGCTACCTCGTTTGGATTTTCAAATGGATGGTTGGAAAAGTTCAAGCAACGACATGCAATTCATTCCTTTCGTCGTTTTGGGGAAAGTGGTTCAGTTAATATGGAGAAAATTGAAGCTAGTTTTCCATCAATAAGAGAGGAATTAGACAAATGGGCTTGGAAGGACATTTATAATATGGATGAAACTGACTTATTTTATCAAATGCAAGCTGATAACTCTCTTGCAACAAAGCAATTGGAGGGTGGAAAGCAAAACAAAGAGAGGATTACAATTGTAATTTGTTGCAATGGCGACGACTCTGACAAACTTTCGCTTTGGGTCATCGGTAAGTTTCTTAATCCAAGATGCTTTAATAATGTTAACCGTGACAATCTCAATTGCAAGTATCGAGCGAATTCAAATGCATGGATGACATCTTTGTTTTTTATGGAATGGCTTAAGTGGTTTGATAGCCGTTTGGGTAGAAATGTCTTGCTTATATTGGATAATTGTACCGCACATGGCAAAAAGGAGAATCTCCCCCCACTTCATCCCACAACTGTTATGTTCCTACCACCAACTAGCACTTCCAAAATCCAGTCATGTGATGTAGGTAGGCATTATTAGAAATTTCAAAGGTTATTATCGGCAACACTTTAATCGCTTACTTTTGAAACGGATAGAATATCATGTATTGGAACTAGAAAGGATAATTATCCTTGATGGAATTGTAAATGCAGTTGCTGCATGGTCAATTGATGTGAAGTCACAGACAATTATCAATATCAATTGTTTTAAGCATTGCAAAATTAGGACCTCCAATGTCGATGAATTGCAAGTTACAAATGAAGTGGATGAAGAGAATAGAAAAGTCATTGCAGAATTAAGTGATCAAATTCAACAACTTCACTACATTAATCGAATGGATATTAATGTCTTCCTCGATCATCAAAATGAGCAACAAGTTATATATGCTTTAACTGAAGAAGAAATCATTGATGCAATTAGACAAGAAGAGAAAGGAAATAATCTTGAGGATGATGTACGGAAATATAAAAAGTTTCGTGCCATGAAGCTCTAAAAATGCTTAAGAAGCTAGAAATATTTTGGCTTTAACAAGAAGGTGTCTATGCTAGCGAGTTATTATATACCCGCAAGTTAGAGGATTTGATAACAACTCTAAAGCATAAATCATTGTCCCAAACAACTTTAGATAAATATTTTGTTTCATCATAAACCTTTAATGTAACATAGCATATATTTTTTTTGCCATATACAAATAATTATTACTATGTGAAGGCAACTTTCCTTAAAACGGGAATTAAAAAAATTATAACTTATTACAATGTGGAGTTTATTCTTATTTATAACTATCCCAAATTGGGAATTGAATTTTTTATGACTATGTAGAGTTTATTCATATATATATATAGAGAGAGAGAGAGTAAAACCTCTCTATAGTGATACTCAATATAGGAATAAATTCTACATAGTCATAAAAAATTCAATTCCCAATTTGGGATAGTTATAAATAAAAATAAACTCCACATTGTAATAAGTTATAATTTTTTTAATCCCCGTTTTAAGGAAAGTTGCCTCCACATAGTAATAATTATCTGTATATTATCAAAAAATATATGTTATGTTACATTAAAGGTTTAAGATGAAATAAAATATTTATCTAAAGTTGTATAGGACAAGGATTTATATTTTTAGAGTTGTTATTACATCTTTTACCTTGCTAGTATGTAATAACTTGCTAACATGGATACCTTCTTATTGAAACCAAAATATTTTTAGCTTCTCAAGCATGTTTAGAGTTTCGTGACACGAAACTTTTTGTATTTCTGTACTATCATCCTTAGGATTATTTCCTTTATCTCCTTGTCTAATTGTAGCAATGATTTCTTCTTCGGTTAAAGTATACACGATTTGTTGCTCATTTGAATGATCAAGGAAGACATTAATATCCATTCGATTAGTGTAGTGAAATTGTCTACTCTGATCACTTAATTTTGCAATGACTCTTTTATTTTTCTTGTCTACTTCATTTGTAACTTGCAATACATCGAAATCGAGGGTCCTAATTTTGCAATGCTTAAAACCACTAACAATTGTCTGTGGTTTCATATCAATTGACCATGCATGAACTGCATTTATAGTTATATCAATGACACTTATCTTTGCTGGTTCCAAGACACGGTCTTCTATCCATTTCAAAAGTAGGCAATTGAAACGCTGAATTGAAATCCTAATACTACTAAAATATGAATTGAAATCCTAATATTATACTACTAAAACATGAATTAAAAAATAAAAAATCAAAACTATAATTTTTGTAATTACACCTCCATTAAATTATAACCTCCTTATAGTAATAAAATTAGTTAGTCCCGCCATTATGACTATAAAGAAGTTTTATTTTATATATATATATATATATATATATATTGCTTTGGAAACTAAAATACTAGTGTAAATTATATATATATATATATATTATATATATAATATATTATATAATTATATATAATGATATAATATATATATATATTATATAATATATATATATATATTATTGCTTTGGAAAGTAAAATTATCTAGTGTAAATATATATCTATATATATATATATATATATATATATATATATATATATATATATATATATTGCTTTGGAAAGAGTAAAATTATCTAGTGCATTATTCATTAAATACTCTAATACACAGAAGTCTTATCTATGTTAGAAATGGATAGTGTTAAAATACCTCGGTTTATACATTCAACTTGGTTTAGAAAAATTTTCTTGGTTATAGATGATGGTATAGCACATTGAAATATTTTATAATTAGTTTTTCTTTATGTTTGGTTATGACTTAGTTAAACATCATTTTTAATATTACTAGATTATGTTATTCTGTCTTTTTTTATTTAGAACATTAATAATATATACTACTAGTTTATTTATGTAAGCTATTTATTTTTAATATACTTATTATATAGTTTATATTTAAATAAATTAGGGAAAGGGAATTCTTCCTATGTGGAGATTCCCACCCCACCCCGTTTAAATTTTTGGGAATAGAGTGGTTAATACTGAATAGGGACCAAAATCCTAAGTGGAGTGGGGAATAGAGGCCTCCGCCTCTATTTTAAACCGGACCAGATTGGCTGGTCAAATCGAGACCCGACAGCCTATCCGTCTAGTTCAGGTTCCAGGGGTTTTATAATATTTTTAAACTTGTAAGGATTAATGGAATTTTTTGGGGGTGCTTTTGAAATATTCAAAATTTTAGGGATAGTTTGAATAAATAAAATTCCAGGATCTACTTGCAATTTTAGGGTATTTTTGTAATATACTAAAATTTAAAAGTAAATTATAATTTTAAAAAATTTTTATGATGACATCACCGATCAACTAAACCTGACTCGGTCACCTTATCGGGTCTTACAAGGGGTTGGGTTTTAAAAATATTGCAGCTACCGTGTCCCCACCCCTGAACCGTCCCACTGCCATCCCTACGAATATATTGCATAGAAGTAATGTACTTTAAGCCGTGTAATTGCATAGATATTGTTGAAGTACAAACAAAAACAACCTACAAATATTTGCTGTCACTGATCAGCAATTGGGTTGACAAAAAATCCAATTTTTATAGCAACAATTAACATATTGCGTTAAATAAGATCGTAACGGAGTTTTGTTTTTTAGTACTCAAAGTTCTCAAGCTTAAAGGAAAGTTGGGCACAACATGAACATAATTCTTGAGAGGACTGCTTGAACCACAAGAAAACAAAAAATCCAAGACAAACAATTCACAAAGGAACCAAAAGAAAATCTATTAATAAGCCATGACCTCCTGAAATTTATCAAAGTATGTTTAATAGCGATCCCCAATCTGTGATTTACACAATAGTGCAGGCAGTGTTGACACACGCTGTGACGTGCAACGGTGACAATACCACGGGCGACGAGTCGCCAGCCAATTTCATTTTTTAAAATCATAAACTTATATATAAAAGATTTACCAAAATAACACTTTTACCATTGAAAATGAATCAATCTTTTCCTATAGCACGAATGCCACAACGAGTTGACTTGACATATGTTATTGGTACGACTAAATGTAACGAATAATCGAAGAAATTTTATTAGGAAGAGTATGCTTCAAAAGTGATTACAATTGATGAAACCATAAAATATAGTACTACATGTAAGTTGAAAACAGAGCAAATTCCAGGGACCCTCAATTCTCGAAGAGTAGTGGCAAGGCAAGAAGAAAATTCCCTCTTGGGCATTGATTCTTCTGATTCTGCCATGGACCACTTGCTAACACGATTACGAGCTATAGCACCTGCAGAGATGCAATTGTTTATGAATTAAATTACGTGAAGAAAAAATTTATGATTGTAATTTTAGCACCGACATGTACATAAACCAAAGAAAGACAAGTGGAAAGATGATATAATACCTGTTTATCCCAGTCAGTTCTCCAGGTGATAATAATAAGTACTATCGTTTGAACAAATGTGCCTAACAACATTCCCATCCAAACACCCTACGAAACAAATTATCTTCCTTAGCAATTTATATTTCATGTTTAAATTTATAACGAAAATGGCATCTGCATATGTACAAACTGAGTCCTTTTTCAATAACATATATAACTAGCTACTTACAATTAATGACCTGAACCAAGCAGTAAAGCATTTAATTATCAAATTTAAAGATAAAAGGAATCTAAATCTGAACAATAAAAATGATAAACTCACTTTGACTCCGAAATGAGCAACATAACCAAGCAAAACTCCAACGGGAAGCCCAACCAGGTAGTAGCATGATAAGTTCACGTATGCTACAATGCTTTGCCACCCAGCACCAACAGAAACTCCTGCTCAGAATTATATTTTCTGTTACATATATTTATTCTTAGGTATTGAAGACAAAAATTGCCTGGTGGTCCCAATATTTGGTATTCCCTTCTTGAGAAAAATAATCACTAGAATATAGCCATCAGTTACAACTACAGGTGCGAATTATCACAAAATAAAAGCCATAACTAAAAAGGTAAACATTACCAGAGAGCACAGGTTGAACACTGTTCATAAGTATAGAGAAAGCCAACAGTGGTGATAGATCTGCAACTACGCTAGCCACCTCATGGCTATTAGTAAATATGTATGCAATACGTCCCTTAAGGAGTAGGAAGAACACAAATAGCACTAGTCCAATGATAAATGACGTGAGAACTATGACTTTGATGGAGAACTTTGCATCTTTTGAGCTTCCTCTTCCAAGTTCGTTCGAGACCCTAACACTAAAGATTTTACATCCAAAACAAGGAAAAAGATGCTATTCAATATATGCACATAGTACTCTCATTTTTAAGCAAACCAGTAAGAGCATGAGGAGAATATCAAGTTTTAAAAAGACATAAGGTTTAGAGTGAAGGAATATAATACTCCCCTTCGTAATAATACTTCACTGAATTCAGTGATCATGTAATCATGGAATAATGTTTTTAGGGACTGATGTCAATAAATTATGGCTGTCTTTAGGTTATAATATAATCAGATTGAATTTTATGGTAATTCCATTCAGAATCGTCTATATGGTTGGAACTACTGTTTAAAGAAAAATGAAAAAAGATAAATTGATCTGGCAAAGGGCCAAGATGGTCACTTTTAGTAACATACACAGTTCTATAATCAGTTTTTGCATTCTCCAGGATATTTTTTGTTTTCTCTCTGTGAACAAAAAAACCTCCGTTTGTTTTAACATTCGTACTCATTTATCATCACTAGAAGCTAACTTATATGTGCTTTAAAAAAGACAAAAGGTGAAATAATCTAAGTAAAAGATAATGAAGACGAAACCTCGCTGCAGCCAAAAATCCAAGGGATATCATCATTTCCAGACCATTGATATTGATGCTGTTAACAAGAATGTGGCACAATGGACAGTTAGCTCATACTGAAAACATAAATGCAAAGTAAAATCCAAAAGGGAAAGGTGACAAATCAATTACCAGATAGCGAGAGCATCAATGGAAACCTCAGCATTTGTCATGTTTCCTGTTAGAAGAATCAAGATTGTGTTGTACCATAACTCTACACTGTCAAGGACAACATAATACTAATTCAACTTACAAGATATACAAGTTAAAGAAAAGCAAAACTCCATATATTTAAAAACAACAATTACATTATTTCTGTGTAGACACCACGTACAAGGACACTCTGAAACAGAGACTGCTGATATTTCAAACTTTCTAAATTTTGTCATTACAAGACAATCAATTGGAAATATCATATGGTAGCCACTCAGAGCCGAATCTGTCGAAGACATAGTAAAAAATGGGAGAACTCATGATGATCAACAAAGGACACAAAGAATTACGAAGCATCCCCTGATCAACTATAATAACCAACGACAATGATAAACATACTGTAAAAAATAAAATAGTTTTAGCTTTAAAGTGCCATTCCAACTGATTCAGCCTATTCCAGTTATTGAAGACCAGACTTTTTCATTACCAAAAACTTCATCCAAAATGACAATAAGATGAAGAACTTACCAAATCATGACACCAGATGACAGAGAAAGCTTCAATACAGGCCAAAGATCTTTGAGAGCCAAAACTGAGAAGCCTTTCCATGTTTCATTGCAACCACCACACATAATGAACAGAAGTTGACCCAGATCTGGAATCCAGTATGCCATAACTGCCGATACCATTGCTCCTGTGATTCCAAATTTATATTTCACGGTCAAAAGCCAAGAAAGAAGCAGATGAATTGACACTGAAGTTGCCGCCAAGTAGGAGATAATCTTGTTCTTGCTTTGTGCTTGTAGGAACATTTGGCAACTATAGGCTGCAATGAAGGCAAACATCACAGGAATAATCCAAAGAGAAATGATTCCTGCCACTTCTGTAATATGCTCTTCCTGGCCGAAAGCCTTCAATAGTGGAGTAGTAAAGATAAACAAGGGTAGAAGAAAGATAGAGGAAATGAACAAGACTATCCATGATCTTTGAAGATATACTCCCATCATGTGGTATTGTTTTGCACCATATGATTGCCCACACAAAGTTTCCAATGCACTTGCCATGCCCAACTGCACATTGAACTTAAAAACATCAACACCATAGAAAATAGAAGCAAATAATAATTAGATCACACCATAGAAGATCATCAACTGAAATTTCCACTGACTAGTGACTCTATTAATTTCATTGAATGTTCTTCTAAGGCTAATAAGTTAGAATTCATCAAAATTAATAGAATTTCATAACTACTCTTAGGAAACCATTAATATGGTCACGATGGGCATCCACTGGACTCCTTTCTGTCTCATAACAGTCTTGATATCATATGTGACTCCGGATCATCAAAGCATGCATAGATTGCCTAGATTATTCAAAATGGCAATTGTCCATGTATTTGGGGGAAGGATTACCATTACTCAAATTCATATTAGATTGGTTGGTATAATGAGATGACAAGGAATTGGCTGCATCAAATTCTGGGAAGCAGGCTGTTGCTTGAACATCATTTTGGTCTGCAGACTGAGATAACGAGTTTTTCTATAGCTGTCCCATAAAGCCAATTTTAGGTATTATGTATTTAAGTTTCATTATTGTCCATCAAACACGAGATGAGTCATGATGCATCTCCCATTGTGATATTCTTTTACTTTAAGTACGACAAAAATGACCAAAAACAAACCGTTCTATGTCAACCCGAAACATCAAGAATGAAACTAATGGTAAGAACATACCAATATGCCATTTGAAAACCTCAACAGGACAGTAACCACAAGTGAATAAGCAGCCAGCTCAGTTGGACCAATGTGCCCAACAAAGCCTTGACTGATTAAGTTTATCCCATACGTAGAAAATCTTGTGAAAATCGCAGGACCGGCGACAATCCAAATCTTTTTGGTCTCAATCCACACCTTGTCCATGAGCTTTACTTCCTCATCAACATCTCCTTGTCTCAGAAGCTTCTCTTGAATCTCTTCCTCCATTTCCACAACCAGAATTGAGACCTTCTTCAGCTGTCAATATAAACAGAAGTTAAAAATATTAATAACTACACCTTGTCAGTAAAAAATGCAATAACTAAGCTGAGTAGAATAGTATGACAGCATCCGATTGCCAATTTTTTTTGCTTCTATACGTAGAAAGTTTTTCTTCGTGTAGGATCTTTCTATTATAATTGTTGGATTGTTAGAATAAATGGTACTCTATCATATCATCATTATTGTTGAATAGAAGCTAATGAGAATTTTTATTAAAGTAAAAAGTGTATGATTCCCACAATACTGAAGAGTATAAGTCTCATTCAAGATCCGCATGAAAGCTTACACTAACAGACAAGCACGAACACTTGTCAATTTCCAATATCAACAACTACCAATATTCTAGATGAACAATATAGACCAATGAAATTAATATGATACACAAAAACAACTTTGAGAGAAATCACTATAATGTAGAAGAAAGGATAATGTTGGGAATCATACAAAGTTCAGAGTATTGGTACATAATGCAATTATTTCAGTGGATGGTTCAATAAGGTCCTTGCGGCACAAAGTTAATATTGGTCTCAATAAAATAAGGCTTATGCAAGCAAGTTCCTCAACTAAAAGTACCTTTGAATAATGATGTAATTCTTTCAAGAAATCATTTTAAATTACAATTATTATTTGCTGTTTCCAAAACTCATTCTTCAGAAAACCTTAATGGAAATAGACTTTAGAAGGAGATATTTTAGAACTTCCATCAAATGGTTTTCTGATTGTTCAACGTATCAAGAATCCCACATGAAAACCACCAACATATTACAGTTACGAAAATTAGAGTACTGAAAATCAGCAATAATAGAGTATATCAAATTATAAGCTCATACCCAATATAATAAATCCTCTTCCTAAGAAACATCAGATAAAAGAAACTTAAAAAGTGAAATTCAAGCCCATCTCTTAAAAAATAATAATAAATAAATAAAGGCAATTTAGATTTAAGAATAAATGTGTCAATTCAGTCCATTTGGCATAAGAGAAAATGAAGTGAGGTATTTTTTCTCCATAAAAATCAACTCACCAAGTCACCAATCAAATCAAAACTCAATAGCTTTTCAATATATTTCCTTAAATATAGTGAGATCAATCATTATTTACCAGTTCTAGCATTCTTAACATTTATCTATAGGACACAGTATGCTACAAAGTACATTAGTACAAATTAAAAGAAGAGATAATTGCACTGGGTTTTGAAAAAATTACCTATCAAACATCCCAGAACTTTTATTCTTTGCGAAGTACAAAAAAGGGTTCTTTCAGAATAAATAGCTATGACCAAAGAAAAGTAAGTAATGTAGTGTACAGCCATTCATAAGAAAAAGGAGAGAGTGGAAGAACACTCACAAGAGCCCTTTATGCAGCACGAACAAACTTTCAAATTCTTACTGTAGAAGTATCCAGCTTTATAAAAAGAATACATGCAAAAGCAAAAGAGTGAAATGGTGCGGTGCCCCACTTATTGCCCATGTATTACATTTTTGCGAATAACTACACTAATGATTAATTAATTTTAAAGATACCTGTTGCATGGAATATTGTGTTTATGTAACGCAACTTTACATGAATATGGCCTGGACCGGGACCAACGAGTTTATTTGCTGTGCACAAAATTACAGATTGACCCTTGCAAAAGACCCAGAAGAAATTCCCTTTAGTACACAAAGATCTAAAAGTAACACTTTCATCCCTAGATTTCAAATAGACTATGTCTAAAAACTAAAATTGGATGACAAATAAGCAAATTTTCTAATTCTAGTGTGTTCACATTATCAAAATTTAATCTCGACCACACGTTAAAGTGTATTACTTGATGTCTGTTATAATGCCTTGTCTTAACCACATGGAAATGAAAAAGACAGATAATTACAAAAAAAAACAACAACCTGTGTTTCAACTAGTGAGTCTCGCTGTTATAGAAAACGCCATGCTAACCCCCATTCCATTACGATAACCGAGGGTCACGTATATTCAATATTTCTACTTTTCTAAAAGGCCAATTTTGACTTTTCAAATTGACTAAGTCTATATCTTCCCTTTCTCTCCCTCTTTTTTTCTTCTGCCCCTATTCTCCCCCATCTTCTTGTTGTTTCTCCCTTCACCCCCTTATTTCGTTGCTATCCGCTACTAGATCTAGTATGTAGTAGCACCGCAAGGCCAAATCTGGCTTCCCTAGTACCGCCCAGCCAGATTTGGCATCGAAAGGCGTCACTAAAAGCTTGACGTTGATTGCAGCCTCTAGTGATGCCTGAGGATGGTTCAACCTTGGGAAGCGTCGTGAGGCCCCTAGGCCAAACATTGTCGCACGACCTCCAAGGCTTCTAACGGTGTCGCTAGATAGCCTAAAACTGGCTGAGTGGCCATTGGGGGAGATGTTTAGGGTTAGGAGGGTAAAAAGGTAATTTCCAATGTTGAAGGATTCTATCAACGATTTTAGCATAATATGGACTAGCATAGTGTTTTCTATAACAACGGGGCTCATGTAGTTGATACCACACGGGCTTTGTAATATCCCTAAAAAAAAAAGGAATAAAAACTTAAACTAATTAAAAAGTTCATAAAACTAAGAACAATTTAGAAAAAATTTGTATATATATAAATTAACAAATTTTGATAAATCAACTATCTCATTATATAACATATAAGAAGAAAAAAAAAAAAAAAAAAAAAAACCAAAATTCCTCCTTAATTCTTCACCATATGAAATAGAAAATGTAGTCATCACCACTCTCGCTCAAATCCAGAAAGTTCTGCCACCAACATCACATATTATAGTTATTTAACCCCAAACACAAACAAATTACATCAAAACCCAAAGAAAGCAATCAACAACCAGCGCAACAGAATGGAAAATGAACAACAAAGCTACCATTCAACAATTCTAATCTCTAAAAACAACCAAAATGAATAAATAAACCACCACAAGTACAAAGAACTCCAACATTACAAATTAAAGCAAAGACAAATCAGAAGAATATAACGAAGAACTAGCTGAAAACATTACCACTATCACCTCCCAATTCAGCAATCCACCACCACGAGCCAAACCCCAATATCGAAATTTTGTCAATGTGGCCGGATTGTTTCTGTATGACAAATGGGTTTCTGACAGTAGGAGGTATCCATGCCATGTGGCATCTCCGGCTTGGCGGCCCTGTGGCGGCTACGGAAGACTTGGTTTGGGTTATTTTTATAATTTCCTATATGAAATTACCATTATATTGTAAATCACAGGGGTGATAGTGTTAAAATCAGATATTTCTGGACTCACAGAAGATCATCCACTTCTAAAGGGTGACTATGAAGCTTCCCGCACACGTGTAGCCTGTTAATATATTGATAAAAGTAAAGTATTATTAAATTAGATTGTATTTTATTGAATTTCCCGAGAAAATTTATGGTAGATACTTTTTCTTGAGAGCACCAAGTGCTAATGCAAGAATCAAATAAAAGTGCTTTCCATACATAAAAGCACTTGTAAAGAAGAATAAAGCTTGTGATTTGGTATTGTTTAAGGTGTTTACTTTAAAAACTTTGGATTAAACTTTTTTTTTTAATTTAGAGGACCAAGTGATTAAACACTTTTCTCTTTATATCTTTTTTTTTTTTTTAATGTTTTTTAACTTTAACTAAACAAGATAAGTGTGGAAGAGAGTAAAAAGAAGAAAAGGGAAGTCACTTAAAAAGCATTACACATATCATATATCTACATTATTACTTGGTTACTTTTATAGTTATTGGATGAGATCTTTTTACTTAAAATTATGAATTAAGGGTGTCCTTGGTTGGGGATAATAAGGGATTATTGAGGTAATGTCATCTTATATTACTTGATTACTGTAAACGCTAAAATTTACAATTGAATTGAAGACTCAATCTTGTGAAGAGAGCCACTAACAACCTTGATGAACCTACGAGGTGCCTCCTTGCGTCTTTGAGGGAGTCCAAGTGATGCGAAGGGATTGACGTAGATCAGGGGTTTGGCGATATGAGAATCAAGGCTTAAGGGTGGTATTTTCTGCCTCTCTAATGAGGGGACTAGCCTCAACTTATATAGTGAACCGTAGGGGCTCGAATTCTAGTAAGACTTTGAGTCATACTTGGTAGGGGAAATCTCTTTTCGGGAAGAGATTGGATTCTTTGCCTTTATCTGTCAAGGCTTTCCTCTTTTGGTGAGATACGAGATCTCATCAGAAGAGGAATTTGGTTAGGATTCTGATCCTTGTTATGGACTGGTACAGGTGAATGGGCCGGACCCAGTTCAACTTAACTCGGGAGACGGCTCAACTCATAGAGCAGGCAGTTCCCAAGGTATTCTAAGCGTGGGTCCAATCGAGATTCGGCCAAGGCTCTAAGCCGTCACTTATCACTGTTATGGTTGGACCTCGTCAAGCCCAATACGAATTTTGGCCCATACAGTTTGTCCCCCACTCTCTTAAGTTAAAGAGTATTTAGCTTAAGAGAGTATAATCAATTACCTACGTACGGGACGCGGATAGGCCATGGCTCCTCAGCAGATTGCTTGGCCGTCTAAGGTGTTAGTGGGACGCGCACGAGTTGGCTTGGTTCGAATTGTCGAGCCAAACAAAGAGAAGGGCCTGGAGGTTATGGTTACAAAGTTCGCGCCTGCTCGGCTAGGCAAGGTTCAGCTTGAGGAAGGATATCCGATCAGGGTGAGGTGTTCGTCATTGGGGTCATTTCCGCGCATTTACCCAACGTTAACCTAGCCCACAACGTTTTAGGCTTCGTTTGGCCAGCTAGGTGCGTGTCAACGACCTTGACAAGGCTTACTGAGGTAGTCATCGATCTTTCAAAGGGGCACAAGCATGATGGCATGGATCCTCGCCGTGCGACCGAGGCATTTCACCGAGATCAACCTAGCCAGCTTGGCTCAAAGGAGCTGAAAGGGGCCCGAGCTAGCGCAGTTAAGGTGCACGTGCCTCTCGCTCCGTGCAAGTCACATGCAGAATAAGAGGCAGGAAATGAAAAGTTTCTAGCCTCTGGTTGCCAGTGGGATTGCGCCACCTATCGCTTGTCAGTTTTGGGTTTTTAAAGGTGGAAACTCTTCGTTCCTTCCATTCTTCAAGTCTAGGTTCATTTAGGAGAGAGAGAACGTCGACTTCACTCATTTCCTTAGGGAGTTTCGCATTTTCTGCCATTGAATCTGGTAAATCTTTGTTTTTTTTGTCTTTCTTCTTGGTTTTTCATTGTTTTTGTATCAAAAAGGAGAGGAAAAGAGTGTTTAAGAGATTGTTTTAAGGGTTTTAGCTTATTTTTGGTTTGAAATCCTGCACTTTTTGGAGAGAGGGTGGTTTCTGGGAGTTTTAGGTTGGTATCTGGTAAAACGGGGTGGTTTTTCGACTAGATTTGGGAGGAATACTGAGAAAAGGGGCTTTATTTGTTTCGGGTCAGGATTTGAGCCAGGTAGGGTTGATTTCTAGGGAACTTGCATGATGCCAAGGTAGACGAAGATCGAAGACAACGAGGTGAAACAGCGATGTCTGGAGGGAATGAGTATAAAGAT